GTTGCAATCAGAAAATTTATCTATATCATTGAGATATTACTCTACATCTAACATATCTACGATCTATGATACTCTAGATCAGCGGTTCCCAATTTTTTTGTCGGTTGCGGAACCCTAAGTGATCGAGATTCTTTTCGTGGAATCCCGAGACTTAATGAATAAATTTCATCAGCAATTGTTAATGCACGAATTAACGAAATACTGTTTATTACTTTGATAAAGTATAATAATCTTATTTGTACTAATTGTTTTGAATATATTTGATGAATGAATGAAGAATAACATTTTTTTATCATATCGTTTTGTCAACATGAGTCTTAAAAATCGGCTTTTAATTTCAGACCGTCGAATTCTCAGGTCTGGAGCGCAATTTAATCGAGTTTTTAATTGCATTTTAATGTATGAATAAACAGAAAATGACTGAGATGAAATATGGATTACATTAAAATAAAAACGAAAAAGGAAGAAAATAAATGTCGAAAAAGGTTGTTAGCGAAACACACATTGTTGAATTTGGTCATTTTTATTCGAATCAAAAATACTAAAGGAATTATATGAATATCCTTTTTATAATTCATTTACTATATTGTTATTAATAACACATTGCTTTGAAATTTCCTTCTTTACAAGCATTTTGATTAAATAATTTCATAAAAATAATGGAAATATTAAATAAATGATGGATTATTAATTGGATATAAATTTTTCAAAAATCATCATCGGTTAAAAAAACTCGTAACTCTCAGAACCCCTGTGTAACCCTTCCATGGAACCCTAGGGTGTCGTGGAATCCGATAAGGGAACCCCTGATCTAGATAATCCACTTTTACAGAAATTTAGTTTTATTTCCAAGTATAAAGGACGATTCAAAAACCACTATCTCGTCTATGCTTTGTTTTTTATTTCTCAGGCAGTCAAACTGTTCAGAAAACTCAATGCATAATAAAATACAAATAAAAAGTATAAATCAAAGAAATGGCGCTGAGAGTTGAATCGTAGCCTGTGCGTGACAGATTTAATTTTCCGGTGACATTTAACGCCGGAAGGAATGTGTCACTATCCCTTTTGATTTGTCATCCTATTTATTCCCCGTTTTGTTGCATATTATTTTTAAATGTTACATTCCAACTTGGATTGGCTGCGTCTTTAAATGAGTTTTATCGGTAAAATAATAATTTTAAATAATGTAATCAACTTAATTAACTACGTTTCGAAACCTCATTGTCATTAATTATCTCTTTAAAATAACACTTTTGAGAGAATACGTAAAACAATCGACAATCAGACATGAAATAAAAATTGTGACTTGGTTATCTTTTTCATTTAAAGTATTCATTAAATACTTGAAACACTTTCGCTAAAAAAATATCTGTGATTTATAAAATTTTTATATTTTGTTAAAATTTTGTACTAAAACAAACGCATAGCTGTTGTTCTTCACATTTCCTGGTTAAGATTTTTTGTAGTGGTAGTGATATGACGATTGATTTTAAAATTGAAAACAGAAATTAATTTAACAATATAACGCTTAACATCTTCTGAACATTTTATTAGGACTTTATTTATATTTAACAGTTTGCAATTTCAGAGCCTTAAATTACTTACCAATCTGAATGTTAAAATTGTTACACTTTGATGTCTAGTAATTACTTTATTTAATAACCTTTTGGTGTTAGATGTTAGGCTGCAAATTTTTTACGCTTTTAGGGAAAGTTTCTTCTAGTGGTTGCTATTATTTCGCTCAAATTTTCTGGATTTACGACTACTCATGCTGAACTCCGTAGCTTTGTAATTTTGCACCCAATACAGAAGAAGAGGGAACTCCTGGATCAAGTATTGGGAGAAATTTGATGGACTAACCCGAATTTGCGTTATATGAAAAAGAAAGACGCGAAACCTTCCACGATTCGAATGAAGGTACGGTACTCTAACCTATGATCGGCCTACCACTGAGGATATTTTACGTCAGCACTTTGGTCGGTTAGAGCAGGGTACGGAATTCGTATCGACCAGCCATTGCTGAGATTCGAACCCGGTTCACCGCATTGGATGGCGAATGCTCTATCCTCTGATGATATATATATATATATATGAAGCAAGCATTATTTTTTAGAT